CCGAACCTTCGAGAAGGGGGTGGAATATCCCTGCCAGCGCAGCAGATTCGTGCCGCAATTCCCTCCTCTTCGGGTTTAGGCAGGGGGGTACCCGACTATCCCTGAAGAGGATCTCGAGGCGCACACTAGAAGGGGTCCACTCCAAACCCTCCTTTTTTCTCCAATTCTCTCACTTTCACATTCAGATTCTTGCTTTCTCCCGCCTGGCTGCGGAAGCCATGGCGGAATTCTCAGGCACTCATTTCTTGTTCAAGAAAAAACCAACCCGTAAGCCCGCCTTTGTAGTTGACGAGGACGGATGGTACTCCCGTGTCCCACCTAGCCCACCACAGCCACCGCTGCCTCCAGCGTCGCTGCTCCGCCTGCTCCTCCTGCTCCTCCTTCGCCTCCTGTGCCTCCTGCGCCTCCTGCTCCTCCTCAAGCTGCGCCGGTCTCTCCTGTTCACACGGGGAATCCTCCCGTGCTCACGCTTTTGCAACCATCGGCGTTCGACGAATACCTCTCGGAGCCAGAGTCGAACAAGCCCTCAGATGAGTGGGTGGCTGTTGAGTATGTGCCAGGACAGCGCTGGGGCCGGCCCGACGATTGTACGTGGGACAAATCTGCAGTCGGCGCCGACGACGAGCTCCCTGAGGCTGAGGAGGAGTGTCGCGAGGAGGGCGGCGATGGCGCCGAGGGTGGCACGGAGGCTGGCACCGAGGCCGGCACCGCTGAGGATGTGTTTCTCGAGAGTGCCCCGGGCGCCGACAAGGACGACAGTGTTGAGTACTGGTCACGCGACGGGCTCCCTGAGAAGTTGCCGATACCTACCTACCCTCCTACTAATCGCAAGCGACCCCACCCTTCTACACAGAACCGTGATGCCCGCCCCCCCTCTCCCAGGCATAAGCTCAACAATCACAAGCGTCAGGCCTATACCGCCGCCGAGAAACTGAAGTACGTCGCGCTGCTGCAGGTCGCGGTTTCGGTGCGTGCTTTGGCTCGCGAGAGCGGCATACACCGCAAGTGCCTCACCAACTGGAAGCGCTCAGCGGATTTCCTGAAGGAAGCTCACTCCGCGCGGAAGCAGATGCACGGTCGCGGGAGATCGTCGTGGTACTGACCGATGGAGATGAAGGTGTACGAGCGTCTCCTCGAGTGGCGCCGCAAAGGAACTGCCGTGTCGGTCGGCCGCCTGCAGTAGTGGTCGAAGGAGTTTATGAAGGAGGTCTACCCTCAAGAGAAGTGGAAGGGCAGTCAAAGGTGGTCGGAACGGTTTCGGAAGCGTTGGAATCTAAGCGTCCGCATGAAGACAAGGGTTGCACAGAAAACCGCCGCTCGTAAGACCTCGTTTGCACAATCCTGTGTGCTTAACCCATGTGATGTACTAATTGCACCCGAGTGTATCGCCCTGCCTCCCACCGTATCGCAGATGTCGCGGAGCAGTGCCGGAACTTTTGGCAGTTCGTCCGAGACAAGCGACGCGAGCGCGGCATCGAGACCACGTGGATCATCTACGCCGACCAGACGCCTCTGTGGCTGGGGATGCCCGCCACCAGGACCGTTGAGCAAGCTGGCGTTCGCTCGGTGCCCATCAGGAGTGCCGGGTACCAGAAGGAGCGCGTGACCGTGATGCTGGCCTGCACGGCGGACGGCGCCAAGCTCAAGCCGTGGGATTTTTTTCAAGAGGAAGACGCTGCCGAAGGGCGACTTTCCGCCTGGCAAGTGAGGTTCTTGGACGTGCGTCGCACATGTTTAAGGAATATAGTTTCAATAATTTCTTGTTTCAATACCCGATTGTGCAGACGTGGTCGTGGCGTGCCACGAGAACGGGTGGATGGACGCCGCGGGCGTCATCCGCTGGCTCGACGAGTGTGTCAAGCCGTACTTGAAGCCGTCTTTCGGTCGGCACTCCAGGAGCTCCATGATGGTTCTGGATTCCTACCGCGGGCACCTCACCGATGTCAGAATGTCATTGTTCTCTAGCCTGCAGTGGGGTACTCTATAGCGAGTACAACCCCTTAGGGTTTCCTATATGTATCCTGCTACTTTCTAGTGAACACCCTCTTCTTCTTCATTCTAAACTTATCTACCTTCTAATCTTCACATGCTATCAGAGCAGGTCGATCCCCTTGGGTCGATCCTGTGGGTGGGCTCACCACCTCACTGCTTCCGCTGCTACTGCCACTCTCTGTGTCGCACGCCCCGTGGCGTGCGACGGATTTTTCATCCCGCCGCGCGCTCGGAGCGTGCGCCGGTTTTCTGCCCGCCGTGCGCCCCGAGGCGCGCGGCGGTTGTCTGCCCGCCGTGCGCCCCGAGGCGCGCGGCGGGTTTCTGCCCCGTCACTCCGCGCGTCGCTCCCGGGAGGCGCTGCGACGGGCGACGGGGACCCGCGCGTCGCCCCCCGTCGCCCGTCGTGGCCTGCGCGCGGCTCGTACAGCCTGCGCGCGGCCCGTACGGGCTGCGCCAGGCCCGCGCGCGGCCCGTACGGGCTGCGCCAGGCCCGCGCGCGGCCCGTACGGGCTGCGCCAGGCCCGCGCGCGGCTCGGGCCGCCTGCGCGCGGTTCGGGCGGCTGTGCCAGGCCCGTGGGCGGCCCGTTCTTCGCTGCCCCTGCGCTGCCCGCTGTCCCCCGTGCTTCTGATGGCGCCCCACCCCTGCTGCTGCCCGTTCTCCTGAATTAGGGTTTGGGGGTGGGGGGTATGGGGGTGCAGCTTCTGTGTGCCGTCCCCTGCTCCTCCTCCTCCTCCGTCTCCCAGTGCTGCAGCTGCCGCTGAGGGGGGTGGACCTGTTGGAGCCGTCGGAGTGGTACTAAGGGGGGTGAAGGGGGAGTGGAGCTAGGGGTGAAGCAGGGGGTGTGTGTCAGGGGGAGTGGGACTGTTTGGGGAGGTTGAACTGAGGTTGCTGTCGTGTCGCCAGCAGCACCTGTAGTCCGGGGAGTTGCTCCGGTAGCCCAGTCGCAGCCAGCTGTGCCAGTCGCCCGTGGGTCCGTTGCTCGTCTGCCGCTACTTTTAGCCGCGGAGCCAGTTACTCCAGTAGTCCGGAGCGTTGTTCCGGTAGCCGCTGTGCCAGTGTGACTCCTGTTGCCCGTGTGTCTGCAGCTTCAGCCGTCGCCTCCTATCTCCTCTCCTCTCACTCTCGCCTCCTCCTCCTCACTTGCCCTCTGCGATAGCCTCTAGCTTTGCTCATAATTGTGAACTTTAAACTATTGCTTCTTGTACTTGTGCTCAGAATGTGTGGTGACATTGTGATCCACCCTGAGCTTGTTCTGCTTTGCTTGCTCTGCTGATTACACCCCACTTTGGCTATGGGGGTGTGTCAGAATGTCATTGTTCTCTAGCCTGCAGTGGGGTACTCTATAGCGAGTACAACCCCTTAGGGTTTCCTATATGTATCCTGCTGCTTTCTAGTGAACGCCCTCTTCTTCTTCATTCTAAACTTATCTACCTTCTAATCTTCACAACAGAGGGTCTGAAGAAGAAGTTTTGCGAGATGAACTGCGTGCCGGCGATCATCTCGTCGGGGTGTACGGGGGAGCTTCAGCCCCTCGATGTCTCCGTCAACAAGAGTTTCAAGGCCTCCGTCCGTCAGCAGTACCAGAAGTGGTTCGAAGCGGAGGGGCAGGAACAGCTGACTGCAGCAGGTACGGTGAGACCGTGGTTTCTATGTATGCACGTTGCTATAATGTCCCCCTGGTTGATCTAATCACCGTCGTTTCTTTGTGATTTTTTAGGCAATCTCAAAAAGCCGCCACCTGCGGTGGTTCTGAGGTGGATCTCGCGGGCCTGGAAGGCAGTGCCCGACGACCTCATCAGGCGCGCCTTTCTCACCTGTGGCATCAGCAACGCGCTTGACGGCAGCGAGGACAACCTCGCCATGGCGCACAGGCGGACCCAGCTGACCGCGGAAGTGGATGTCGACGACGGCATCATCGCTGATGGCTTCTTTGGCAACAACTGCCAGGAGCCCGAGTTTGACGAGGAGGAGTAGATGGTTCCTTGGTAGAAAGGCCTTTGTAAACGCCTATTCATTGAGTTAGAAGTAGGTAGTTGTAAGTGCTAAATTTCTAATGAAAAGTGCATGAAGATGTTAATTGTTGTAGTTCTTAAAAAATAAAATTTGTTCAAGGTATGCGCTTATAATAAGTACGTGTACAAATAGGGGTGCGCTTATAATCGAGGAACGGCCATAAGCGCCATGCTCCAGATAGAGGCGCCAGCGCCTTTAATCGGACGGCGCCTATATCCGGGGCCATACGGTAGTAGTGGAGGAGGTTTTAAGACTACTAAAGCTTCCGCTAGTAGCTTAGTCTAATCAACCTCCCACAGAAAATTCCCCTAAACCCTAAACCTCTCGCTAGTTTTACCAGGCAAAAAGTACAATCTTGATATGATCTCTTGATTTGAGGATAGGATTCTCTTTATTTGAGGATAGGAATACGCTCTTAGTTTTCGGGGGGTGGGGGGGTTCTACTGTCGGGAAAATACGGGTAGTACATCTAAGTACGGGTTGTATGAAATGTCGCATTGGTGATAGTGAGGCTTCAGATTTGCTTTAATGTTACTGACTGCACAACCACCACCATTCTGTACTAATGCATCGTCTTCCATTTTTGGTTCGATTCGAATATACCTCAGGGGTCTGATATGCAGTGAACTCTGCTATGTAGGGATCACTTCAAAATGACGATGGCACGCAAATAGACGTCACTCCTAAAGTACCAGAGCAAGACCTGCCATTGTAGTCGTAAAACAATGTGATCGCCGTTGAGGTAGTTCCACCGTAGAATCGGTAAGCAGCTGCACACGCCATTGACTGCTGGACAGGCTTGACCCTTCTTGCATAAACCAATACTCTGCCCTGAGGCAAACCTGGGGTCATGGGATGGATGGGATCAAGGTGCATGAATCAGTAAGGGTGTCAGAGACACCAAAGAGATTAACAGGGAATGCACAATGAAGGCAGCGGCAATAAGGCACGTACGTTTTCAGAAGCTCTGCAAAGCGCACCTACTTATGTCCACCTATTCCTTGCTCCCCCCATCCCCAAGGCCGCTAACCCCAGCCCTTACAGTCCTCACCTGTACACCAATGTTGCTGCCGATAGCGGAGGCAGAGGAAGGGATGGTGGCGGAGCAAGTGAGGTCGGGATTGTTGCGGTACAGCGCAGCCCACGCATCCCCAATTGCACCCCCTTGTGAAGTGCCGGTCCTCTGAAGCAGCCGGTCGCACGTGTCTTGAGGTGTGAGTGTGCCGTATCTCACACACTCAGGCACGGTGAATGCGAAGGCAGCACTGTGCTCAAGGCACACGGAGCGGCCCGCCTTGATGGGCTTGGAGCAGTCAAGGCCGGGGTTGAGCTCAGCGAGACGTGCCTCATTAAGGCTGAGCGCTGGGGTGATGGATGCACAGGTGTCCCCCTGGAGGGTTGGAGAGAGGCAGGCAAAAGTGAGACTTGGTGCTTGCGATGTGCTGAGTCGGCCATGCAAGCTGGTTGCGTGCATGGTGCGGTGTGGGCAAGAAAGCAAGAGGAGCAGGTCTCACATTGAGGGAGTAGAAGAAGGCAGCGCAGGGTGTGGCAGGAGTACCATCCAGCTGAAGGACACTGCCCTTGGGCAATGGCTGGCTGTAGTCAATGCCCTGCATTGGAGACAAGTGCACGTTTTTTAGGTTTGAACCAAACCCCACACAATCAAGGCTTCCACTTCTCAGTGAGTCCTGGAGAGTAAGTACATCCTTCACAGTTTAGTATCTGATCTGTTGGAACGATACGGCAGTGCAGTGATAACTCATAGGTACAGTAAAGCAAGAGTTAACAGATAAAGTGATGTGAAAACAAGCTGAAATGGAATGTTCAATCAAAACGCTGAATGAAGGCTTGTAACTCCCACCACCCCTTCCACCCACCGCGTTTTGGTCAACAAGCGGATGAACATCGGAGCACCACCAGTTGTCACCACTGACTGTCATTGTGGTGGACGTGGTATTAGCTGCAGGCAGAAATAAGAGTAAGACAGAGGCAAGGAAAGAGAGCGCCACATTGAAGTTTTAAAAGAAGCGGAACAAGACTAGAGAAATGAAGTCAATCAGTGAGAGGCCAACAAGCGGATGAACATCGGAGCACCACCAGTTGTCACCACTGACTGTCATTGTGGTGGACGTGGTATTAGCTGCAGGCAGAATTGAAAGTAAGACAGAGGCAAGGAAAGAGAGCGCCACATTGAAGTTTTAAAAGAAGCGGAACAAGATTAGAGAAATGAAGTCAGTCAGTGAGAGGCCAACAAGCGGATGAACATAGGAGCACCACCAGTTGTCACCACTGACTGTCATTGTGGTGGATGTGGTATTAGCTGCAGGCAGAATTGAAAGTGAGACAGAGGCAAGGAAAGAGAGTGCCACATTGAAGTTTTAAAAGAAGCGGAACAAGATTAGAGAAATGAAAGTTGCAAGTTTCACAAAGAAGTGGAGGTTACTAAGAAAAATTCCAGCAAACGAGACCAATGGATACGGTTGAGCATGGGCCTGGCCCGGCCCGACCCGGGCCGAATGAGCAAGACCCTGGCCGGGTCCCGCCCATTTTGTACTTGGGCCAGGGTGGCCCGACTCGGGCCGTGCAAGGCCCAACCCGGGCCGGCCTGGCCCGGCTTGGGTGCAATTTCGTTATAGGTAAATGGTGTTTTGGGCCTGTTGTAGAGAGGAGAACAAGTCTAGGGCCCAACCGGGCCGGCCCGGCCCACCCTGAAACGGGGAGGCCAAAAGCGGGCCGCCCGCGGGCCGACAGCCAAATTTCGAGGCCCGACCCGAAGCATTTCCGGGCTGGCCCAACTCGGGCCAGGCCCAGCCCATTTTTTTGCTCAACCCTACCATTGGAGAAATTCAAGCCACCTACTTGGATCGCAGGTGGGGAAACCATCAACTGTTGTGCTGAGAACGTGGTTGGGCGGACAGATGCAGGAGTAGGAGCCCTTGCCATCGTTGATGCATGCTCCCACGTAGCAGGGGTTCTTGAAGTACGACCCACACACGTCCACTGCCAGACGTGTTCCGGGGTGACGGATAAGACAGAGAGTTGAGAGAAACATGGCAATAAACAGAGTGAGGGAGAATGTGGTTAGAGAAGAAGGGGCATATGGTCTGCAGACTCCTAGCCAGATGCCAACCAAACCTCTCGCCACTGCAGCTGAGGAACCTCTAACACAGATCGAACATAGGCGGGAGTATGTAGAGCACAGGAGTCCTAGGAGACTCTTGTTTCTCACCTCATTGTCCTCACTCCCTGTGACATGCACCTGCATAACTTCTGCATGCTACAATAACGCAACATACTTCAGTGTACGACCAAATTACATGCCCTCCTACTCACCCTTTGACTTGCCACTGATCTTACCATAAGCACAAGTGGAGCCAATTCCATTCGCAACTTCCACAAAAGGCTGCACAGTAGCGGTGGGAATATTGCAAGTGCAGATATTGCTGCTTGTTGTTGTCCCCTGGCACTGGAACTAGCCACACGGGTTCATGCTGGGTTGCGAATCCCCATCGCCCTTGTAGCTGCTTCGCCCGCAGGGGTCCCTGGAACTGGAATGGAAGGCGTAGAGAAGACACTTGAAGAAGGACTACATAGTTCTTGCCACAATATTGAGCACCACAATAGATAAGCACCACTCAGTGGTTATGTGCTTTCTAAGCTTGACACTAGGATGGACCACCACTAGCGGAAGAATTTTCAGTGTTCAGCTTGTACAGATATCATATTTATGTGTTGTGTAATACTCTGCGTGTGCTATTTTGTTGCCTTTGTGTGTATCTTTCATGCATCTGCTTAGGTCACATTTCCAAACTTAATATCGTCTATTTTTCTGCATCTTCTCAGTAGCTACTTTCAAAATGCCTCCCCCCCTGCATGTGCTCATAAACTGTCTCTGAGACGCAATATTCCTCCTACTTACTTTCCAAGCATCCACTCAGCAGGTGACACTACTCCCTTCCTCCTCTTGCTAAATTTGCATATAATGAATACGGAAACCTTTCCCCAAACATTTTAGAAATGAAGTTTGTGCTAAATCCATTTACGGATCAAATACTGACGATTCGAATATAAATATGCTCGCAATGTTTTGACAATCATACTCTTGATCATTACTCACACTGAATTTTGTGTTATTCAAACTATCATTACTGTCGTGATCCACAATGTAGCAGGCTTACCGCATTGTGTTGTGTGACAAATCAGGATGCATGGCACAGGTCCAAGTGTTGTAAGAAACTATATATCCGCAGTAAAGACCAGAAGAGAAGAAACCATGTATGTGTCTCGTAAACTTGAATATATGGCGATCGTGTATTTGACAAAATTGAAATATTCACAAACGAATGCATGCGAGTAGCATGCCAATTGGAATTTGATCTTTAGCTGTAGAGTATCAAATCGGAAACCAAGTACCAAAATCAATTGACATAATTCTTTCCATGCTCAAGTGTACCCCTTACCTACCAGGACGTATAAGTTACAGCAGTGGCGCAACATTTTTGAGGGAAGTGGGCAGCACAGACCACTTACCGAAGGGCTAGCGGGTTAAATGCACCAATCTCAATTGAAAATGATGTAGATAGGCTCACCTCACCCGTGACAGAGTACATATGGCTCGATATTGAATGGGGTAGATGCCTTACTTTTGACAATAGGGTAGATGCCAGGCAGCACGTTGATGCCACACACGCCCTCTCCTCCCTGAATGTCCATGCGCATATGTCCCCTTTGGCCCCACTCCTCTCCCCACGAGTTGCGGATGATCCAAAATGGAGGCGCAATACGGTTCTGGCTGCCGTCGTTTCTTGTGATGAAGTAGTCAATAACGAGTACAACATGGTTGAGACTGCCCGTGTAGCAACCAGGATCCTGGAATTTGTAAGTCTGAAGTGAGGTGGGGGAAGAACATCCACAAAGTGGGATCAAAGAATACAGGCCAGACAGGAATGAAGCGGTGGAAGGGGATGCAGCATTCCAGGTGAAAGTATTTCCCATCCAGGTGATCACCCATAAAAATGTGGGCACGTTACTGAGTGACAGCTGCAGCGACTCACCCCATCATACTGCATGAAGGTCGGAGACGCCTCGATGTGAACCACCACTGGCTGCCGCTGCACTGCCAGCATGAGCCCCACATACCCCTTGAACTGCGCTCGCTCAAACGCTTGCACCGGGTACGTTATTACCTGGAACCACCGGATTGCAGCATTTTTTGGCGAGAAAAGGGGGGGTTGGGGTGGAGATTGAAATAGGCCTGGAGTTTGAAAATTCTGAACTCGCCCCCCCTGAAGACGACCCACCAAAAAAGGAACAAGGCACAAAAATTAGCACGAACGATGCCTCAACAAATCAGCAACGAATCTCTGGGTCTCATACACCAATAAGAGAAACGAATGATCGTGCAATCAGAACCTCACGTAGCTGGATGAGGTGGTTTCACTATACCATTCCATACCACGTCTACCTGCTGTTTGCCCTACCATACCACGTCCTCTAGCTGGGTGGATGAGGATACATACCACCATACCACGTCCGCATGCTGTTTGCCCTACCAGGTCGTCGGCTCCTGTGAGCCCACTGTGATTGTCTCAAAGGCGTGGGTGGGGGCCGCCAGCGGAGCACTTGTCGGAGTCGGAGAGCCCCATGAGGGCGAAGAGCGCCTCCACTGCCAGCCGGGGAGCGCTCTGCTGCTTTGCAATGCCGTATGCCGCCTCCACACTTGCCACCACCGCATACGCCCAGCACGCATATGAGAAGTGGTAGAGCAAGAAAGGTGAGAAAGAAGAGTGGCATGATGAAGATAGGCTGCACATTTGTTTGGGTTACGATGTTTGGTTTTGAAGCTGGTTTGACTTGTGTAGATTTCATTCTCAACCTCTCCAACCTGACCAATCCCATTTTTTTTTACGATTTGCATAAAATTTCCTCGGATTACCCATGTGTCCTTTGATCCGACTTGATGTGTATTACTTATGGCTGGCTGTGTGCCTTGCATGGACAAGACGCAGGGTCAACGCCATTTGATGCCTCGTACTATGCTGCGTGGACACGGTACAAACCACAGCAGTGTTTGGCAAGTACAGACGTAATCAACAATACTCAAGAACTTCATTTTGCAGTCGATTACACTCACCGCAGAAAAACAGCTCAAATGCTGATATGTCGATTCTTTCCACACTCACTGCAGTCGTTTTGGTTCTTGACAGGCCAAGCAAGAAAGGGCACGGAGTCCCACGTGTGGAAGTCACGAATGCTCCACGACTCCGCTTTGGTGGCCGACAGCTTGAAGTCCGCACTCACATAGCGCGAAAAGGGACTGGCTCGAGTCGGTGCAAATGTGACCTCTGACAACGAGAGGCCGAGGGTTGTGAGGGGGGAGGAAGGGTTGGACGTAAAGGGAGATGTGGATGGCGTGGTCTGATATTAAAGGCACCTGTTGGTGTCTCCAAGAAGTTTGACATGTAATAACTTGAGCTACATCTGATTGACTAAAAATGGCGCTCGATGTTCCCTCAATAATCGGTTAGAAAGGATAGGTGAAAAAACTGACGGCAATTTCCAATGAAATCAAGTATTTTTTCGCGCCCTAGAGAGCCCCATCGACTTCCTGAGCGACCCACAGTACTAGCCAGCTAAGATTTTGCGGCGGTAGTAGTTCTGCGCGTATCTCATTAACCCTCCTGGACCATGATGGCGTTGTGGGAGAAACATTAACAATGTTCGGAGCCTGCCAGTAATTCTTATGAACATCAAAGTTATTCTGCATGTTGCTTGCTTCTGATTGCCGCATGACAGGCAGGGAGCTCACCTTTCTCATTAACCTGGGCTGCCTTGGGTGAAGGAGCAACTGTCGAGATAGACAGAAGAAAGAGAAGCACAAAAGCCATAGAGTGCTGGGTGGGTCTTGGACAAGGAAAGCACACCATAGGGTAGGAGTGGCAAGATGATGTGAAAAAGCTACCACTGTCGTCATCTCCATAATGGCCTAGCTATGACAGGTGCCACCATCATCATCAGTACCCAGAAAAACGTCTCAAGTAAACACCCCATCCTAATCTCTTGTTCATGAGTGATCAAACTGGCCGGGTGATAACCGAATTGGTTCAGGACGAACCAGCTGATTTCAAGTTCGGTTTGACACATCATTCACTCACTAGGTGCTTACGCGACCGATTTTGTTCTAGGAATGTATGACTACGAAACGAAATAACCGTGCAAAGATGGATTATCGAAGGTTGCTAGAATTTAAGTGAGACAGAAGTTGGAACTCAAACAACCACGTCCTCCACCACCACCACTTTTCCACCCCCCCTACCACCCATCAAGGAAGTTAACATCACCCCACTTGCCTCAAAATAACCTTGCCTGTTTGCACAGAGGAGAAGAGAATGCCATGCAGCTGGAAGGGCTTCATAGTGGTGGACGCCACAAAGCCAAACGAGAACGCCGGCTGCTTCACTCCCGGCTGCAGCACCGCACACAGCGACACCTTTCCCTGTAGCAGCGGCTCCTCTGGTTTCGTCTTTGAATTCGCCAGGAACACTTGAATGGTGTTGGGATCCCTAGGCTCATAGTCCACCCACGCCTTGTATGAGTCGCCGTCTGTCAGAGTGAATGGCGACACCTCCTTGACCAAGGGTTCCTCTGCGCCGTTGATGCTCAGCCCCACGTGCTGCTCGCCCGCATCATCCTGAAGCGTGTCGAATACCACGGCTATGCTCCTGGGTCCCACTCCACTATACCCCACACCACCAGGTTTCCCTGCCTTGGGCTTCGCCGCGATTACAAGTGCAAAGCCGCTGGAACTTGCAGTACCAGACTGGGGCATGAGAGCAAAGGTGAAGTTGACTCTGAAGGCCAACCCCAAGCCGCATGCCGAGGTCACACCAGGCGGGTACATGAAGAGGGTCACTGGCTTCGCCACGAACTTTCCCATCGTTTCCTGCTGCGTGCCCTTGGTTAGCACCGTGAATGGCGGGAGAATATTTCCTTGGAAGCCCGAAGATTCGGGAAGAAAGGGCATAAGTGCACGGGGAAGGGTGGGAGTGGTGGAGAAATAAAATGTGTGAGCTAAGCTGTGCAGACCAAATCATGTGGTCAATGCTATGAAGGTGGAATCTACTGATATGGGGTCTGTGCATGCCTAAGGAGCTTTTATGTGTGTGGTAGCTGAAATCCAACAACCACCACGAACAACCCGTTGAAAGTGAAGCAAAGCATGGAGTGACCAATGTGTGCAAACCAGGAAGTAGAGAAAGTGAATGTTAAGTGCATAATTCAAGGAGCACAAAGCCTTTGACGTACATAAAGTCAGTGCTTTGACATTCTGAAAGCATGCAAAGTTTTTTTACCACCTCCTGAAATACAGGTGATTCCTCCAAGCGGCAAGGATCCCGCATCACACAAGCACGTTGGCACCAAACTAGGCCCATCTGGGTAGCACACGTCATGACCACCACAGGCAGAAGCGGTTGAGAGAGCCACAGAATGCCATGCACTGTGCTACGGGTCGCTGCATGGCAGGGCGGCAGACTTTGTTTGGTGAGAAGCAGTCGGCGGCGATGTTGAGTCGACGGCAGTCTGGTGCAGACACAACACCCGACAGGTAGTTGTCGGTCAAGTCCGTTTGGGAGAATGGGGGGAGATTCACAAGGGGGCCTGTGAGGTAGTTGCACCATAGACCACTGCAGGGGAGAGACAGGAAAATCAAGATAGAAGAAGAGGATAAGAAGGACGAGGGGTCAATGGAGAGCAAGGGTCCAGACTAGCACCCTCAGATCACTTGTACCTTGAAATCCACAATCACACGACCCCAGTTGCATGTGGCTCTATTATTAACAAGACCACAGGATACAGCGAAGGAGAGGGTTGTGGTCAGCGAAGCTGATGGAGAGGGGAGAAGAAGCTGACAGCCAGGCAAAGGCTTACAGATAAGTCAGTACTGGAAGGTTGCTGATTGTAGCAGGAATTGTGCCACTGAGCCGGTTTTCAGAAAGTGAACTGTCATGATGAGCATGAGAGGGCATGCGGTAGAAGGCAGAAGGGAAACACGGCCAAGTTAAAGGGCTTACAGGTATTGCAGATAATAAAGGTTGCCTATTGCAGTGGGAATTGCACCAGTAAGTTGATTGCTGGAAAGACCCCTGCCACGATGAGCATGAATAGGCATGCGGTAGACATGGGAAGCTCAAGCTTGCATGGCAACGAGCACTGGATAAGAGCAATGAACTCCATTGGAAGGCGAAATCCATGAGAATGCAACAGCGACACTGTCCGTGGGATGTGTGCTGACACTGGCAGAGGGTAGATGGGGGTAGGAGAAGAGAGGAAAGACGTGCTCTTTGGAACCTGGTTTGCTTCAAACCAATAAGGGGCATTCTGTCAGTCAATCTCAAGCAGGCAGCAGATTAGAATAAGATATAGCGTAGGAAAAACAGTTGTGCTAAAAGCTAGCTAGTTCACGTAGAGATCTTACAATGGAGCTCTTCACTAAGTAGTGGTCGAAACACAAAGATAGATGTGTTTCGGCTGATAGGGAATTTCCTAGCCAGCCTTCATCAGTGCCCGCCCCATTAAAAATGAGCCAGAGAAAGCTCTACTTCCAGAATTGCAAATCTTTATGCTATCGTCAACCCAAAAGCTTTGATAAGCTACATATTGATCCATCCGTTAGGAGTCTTGTTTGAGGCACCTGTTCAGTATCCATCCGTTAGGGGCATTTTTTAATATCCATCCGTTTCAGTTCGAACAGGTTTTCCGGGTTAGACATGGGCCGTGCAACTCAGACTCCCTGGAACAACGGGTCCCTTTAACAGAATATAGGAGCTCACCTTCCACGTGTCCAGTAACAATGCTCTGTATACGTGTGTGTTGTACTGATTTTGGCACGCTAGGCGGCGTACGCTTGCTAAGGTACATTCAAGAAACCACGAGCTACAAACCTTGAGCTACATCAGTGTGACTCGAACCCATCCAGGTTGGGAATCTTAGGGCTTAAACATCAAACCATGAGCTGCTCAAGCTGGCTCGATCCGGAACAAAGTGGTTCGGCTGATTCAACCACCAGTTTGCTCAGATTCGAACCGGACCAATTTGGGTTCCTTCACAACAATGTGTGTGTCTGGAAACGTGGGTTTCTAGTTGCTCATGCATACTTTTAGGATTTCTAGGTTTGTAAGCATGCGGATAGTAGTGGGGATTAAACCATTTAGCTGATTGCTTACAATCTTTCTGCGGCGATGAACGCGAATGGGCACGCATGTGATCGACACAGGGAATGAAGATTGCCTGGAAACGAGCAACGGATAGTAGCAAGCGATTTACTGGGAGGCGAGAGGTGAAATCCCTGAAATGCAACAGAGGCATGAAAGGCTGCGCAATTGACATTGTTCGTAGGGCGTGTGCCGAACATGGCAGGGGATAAAAAGGGCCAGGAGAGTTGAGGAAAGACGTGCTATTTGTTGGCCTCAAGGCACGCAGTAAATTGCACAAGGAATTGAGCATATGGGAGGGAAGAGGAGAGGCGAAGTCACGCTAGTGACAAAGGAATTGAGAGTGGAGTGAAAATTCTACCTCAAGGTCTTACATGGATACAGGATAATAGCGTCATTGAGAGCCACATTCGCAGACTTGCAAATGCAGCTGCCATCTCTCTCATGCCTCCACGCCCTCTTCCCTAGGAGCTATGATCTTCTCCATGCCGCCAGTTTGACAAGGTTCGAAAAGTACGGCTTGGGTTCGATACTTGCTCGTGCATACTTACTGGCGTTTTAGGTTTGTAAGCATGCCAATTGCAGTAGGGATTGAGCCAGTGAGCTGATTGTGATCAAGATATCCGCGACAATAAAAACGAATGGGCATGTATGAGGTAGATTTGGGGTGTTGAAGATTGCATAGAAACAAGCAGCAATAGGAGAAAGCAACACCATAGGGAGAAAATTTCCTATGGAGGCATGAAAGGATGCACAATGGACAATGTTCGTGTATCGTGTACAAACAATGGCAGTGAATAGAAGGGGAAGAACCAGGTTGGACAAAACATCGCATTGAATTTGCGTGTTGCATTTAAATGCACCGGAAATTTGTACATTGCGTATTTAGTGTAGATTCGCCAAAATATGCTTGAGCTGGCTGAAGAAGAAAGAAATAAATCGAGTTAAAGTTTGTCGCAAAATCAAACTCCAGTTTCATTTTGAACTCGAGGCACATCAACGTTTTTCCTCCACCACTTCACAACCAAGGTGGAACAAAAAGATTGTCGGAAAATAGGGGGTTCACTGGTTTTTTACGGTTCCTTTTGGGGGGGAGAAATGGACTTCTTCTTGTTAGACAGAGAAAACGCTTCGATGTCAAAGATGTTGTAGCCCGCATGTGGTTGCATGGCCCGCTGCTGGAGCCCCCGTTCATTGTCACGCGCAGCACGTTGGCCGGCTATACAAGCTTATGCTACAGCTGACAAAGGACATTGACGCAGCGTTTTAGACGCAGGACACGGTTTAAGGGGTCCCGAGACGCTAAAAAGACACAGGGCCTTGCAGGGCATAAAAAACGTTCGGGCAGGCAAAAAAACCGTCTAGGAGGGGGGGAGAGGGGGTTTCGGGGCATTACACACATAGTTAAACCAAGATTTAGGGTTTTCGAAAGAGAATCAGGACGAATAGGAGGAGAGAAAGCTCTGAATTTCGACCTTCTTACATTAGGTTCAGGTTGACAAGGTTGGGGGAAGGAGATGCAGTGCGGTAATGTGTGGTGGTTGGGGGGAAAATGGTTTGCTAGCGATTTTGCTTTGTAAAATGAGCGAAATGGCTACCACTTGTTTGCGATTTTGCTTGCTGACATCGTTCCCATGGAGTTACCAATTCGCGGATCTAACATTAACATCAAAATCACGAATGGGCAATTTCACGGCCTGATTTTTTTTCCGGGAAGATCTTCCGCTTTGCGTCCTGCGTCCTGCATCTGGGCGCAGTGTCCAGACGCACGACGCAAGACGACCTGAGCTTCTTCTGCAACTTAGGTGGAAATAACCCAACGATTTTTTTCCAATAAAAATTCCACTCTACTGGTGTCGCATGGACTTCTTTTTTCATATATATATATCGAACAAGGAGCTGTTATAATTGTTGTTGTTGCAATCATGTGATGTTGTTTTGCTCACAGCATCTTCAAAGAGAAAAAAAAAAACAATCTTTCACCAAAGAGCCCCGCTTATCCCCCAAAAGATAAAAAGGAACCATATTCCTCGACAACCATTTTTCTTTCCACCATGCATCAAAGCATGACCTGTTTGGCTGGTTCGACCCGAACCAAAGTACTTCCGTTGGTCTACCGCTGCTAGTTCAATTCAACCAGGTTCGACCGAAACTGGTTGAGGTTCGGTACTTGCTCATGCCTACTTACAGATGTATCAGGTTTGTAAGGATTCCGATTTCAGTGGGGATTAAGCCAGTAAACTGATTGTACTGAAGATATCTGAAGCAATGACAAGAATGGGCATGCATACAGGGAGCTGAAGAGTGCATGAAAGCGGGTAAAGACAGGCAACTCCATTGAAGCACTCTACCTTTTTTTGCAAATAGGTTAAATTTGGTTCGACCTAGGGTGGAGCTGGTTAGATCGAACCGTACGGAAATTCGGTTTGATGCTCATGTCTATCCCAACCTTCACCAAGTGTGATCAACTAAAAGCTCAACATTCCAATTAGGATTCAAATATTCCAGCTAATCCCACCAATTGGAGATTTCAGCCCACATGAGCTCATCTGGAGATTGCATGACACAAAGTGGACAGAAAATTGTGGAGAAGAAAAGAAGAAGGGGGAACACAGCCAAGCAAGTTTAGAAGGTTGCCTATTGCAGTGGGAATTGTGCCGGTGAGTTGATTGCTAGAAAGATCTCTGCCGCGATGAGCATGAATAGACATGGGAATGACAAGTTGGCTTAGAAATTAGCAACAGAGCAAGCAACTCCATTGAAATGCGAAGCTCCTGAAAAGTGGAACAACAAAGCTGGCGCAGTGGACATG